AAGGAAAAAGCCATATGATCCTGTCACTAGTTGGAGAAAAAGTATTGGACTAAATTCTACAGCTGTTCATGGTAAAAGCTATCAGGAGACTAGAATTTTTATATATTTTGGATGTTAGTTCTTTGTCAGATGAACAGTTTGTGAATCTTTTCTCACACTCTGCAGATTGTCATTTCACTCTGTTGATTTTCCTTCCTGTGCAGAAGCTTCTTATCCCATTTGTCTATTCTTTATTTAGTTTCCTGGGATTAGGGGGTTTTATTTTTAAAAAATCATTATCTAGCAGGGCAGGATGGCACATCCTTGTAATCCCAGATATTCAGGAGGCTTAGACAGGAAGATCTAAGTTCAAGGTCAGCCTGGGCAACTTAGCAAGACCTGTCTCAAAAAAAATATGCTTGACGCTGTATCTCCATGGTGGAGTTACTTTGAGTTCCATCCCTAATACCACAGAACAAAAACCATTGTCTATATCAAGCCAAGTGTTTCCCCTATGTTTTCTTCTAGCTTCACAGTTTCAGTTTTTATATTTAGGTGTTTGATATATTTTGCCTTGAGTTTTGTATATGAGGAGAGACAGGGATATAGTTTATTGAAAAGATCATTTCTTAAATCCAATGTATGTTTTTGGCACCTTTGTTGAAAATCAGTTGTCTGTAGACACCATGGGTTTATTTCTGGGTTTTCTGTTCTATCCCATTGGTCTATGTGCTTTTTGGGCTACTGTGTGTTTCTGGTTACTAGAGTTCTGTTTTATGTTTTGAGATAAGGTATTATGATGTTTCTTTTTGCTCAAGATTGCTTTGGCCCTTTGAGAGCTTTTGTGGTTTTAGATGATTTTAGTATGAACTTTTTGAGTTTTGTGAAGAGTGTCATTGATGTATTCATGAAGATTGCATTGAATTTGTAAATTACTTTGGGTAGTATGGATATTTTAACCATATTAATTCCTCCAATTCATAATCATAGGATATTTTTTCTATTTTTTGTGTTCCCTTCAATTTCTTTCAGTTTTATTAGAGATCTTTCACTTCTTTGGTTAAATTCACTCCTAGGTACTTTTTATTTTTGGACGATATTGTTACTACTTTCTTCATTTCTTTCTCTGTAAGTTCATTATTGGTTTGTAAAAATGCCATTTTAAACACCTAATTTTATTGGGAAGAAAATTGTAGCTCAGGGAGAAAAATTAACATACAGCTCGTAAATTGCAGTCCTGTGTTCCAAACAAGCAGCTCTTTGTACATCATTTAAGAGAACCAAGATAAAATATTACAATGAGCCCAGGAGGAAGGTTGTGAACATCAGACAACATTGTAATTCTTCAATAAACTGATGATTCTTCCATAAACACATAATTCTTCAATAAACTTTACTCAGTTCCTTGAACAAGGCAATGAGACTTTTTTTAGACAGTGCTTCCTATGTCGCCCTGGCTGCCCTTGAACTCACTATGTATCCTAGCGTAGGCTGGAACTCAAGGCAATCTTCCTGCCTCAGCCTCCCAAGTGATGGGGTTACAGGTTATGCTTTTGGACCTTTACTTGGGTCCACCTTAACTTTCTTTTTTTGTTTATTATTTATTTATTTTTA